GCTGCTTTTAAGCACTTTTGAACACTCAAATGCTTTCATTCATCCTTGCACAATTTTGGAATAATTTCGGTTTGTCGTGAGCGCTACAAAGGGAATTTTGATTCATTTTGCGAGAATGCAGTATATCGCTATCTATTGGTTCAATCGGGTGGAGGTTTTGGTGGACAACTCAATTTTTGGTGGGTTTTTGGTGGGTTCGAGGACTCTCGGCTGACAGAAAAGGCAACTCAAAAAAAGTTAAAATAGTGTAGCGGGCGATTCCTTGATTGAACATGAGGAAAACAATTGCTCAGATATTTAATCGAATTGATCAAATGTACCAATTCATTGAGCTGAAAAATGGCGAATTCAAACTTGAAGATTCTCAACGTCAGTGGATCTTTTCTGGATGCACTAGTGACGTGTGCCACTGGAGCACTTCTGGACGTTCGTTTGCCACGAGTTGAGCTGGATTTGGACGAAGACATGGTGCCGAACACTAGCGATATCCAGGTGACTGAGCAGTATGAAAGTATCCAGTTGGCGGATCTGCCTGTTCTGAGTACATTCATTGTGCTTGATGTGCCGTCGAAAAATGAGGTATGTATTTTGGTTGTTCCTCTTTTATAATTTTAAGTTTGATAATTCCTTAATATTTTGATGATTTAATGATATTTGATAATTTAATACTTTTATGCTTTAAGATATAAGTTCAATGATTTCTTTTGGTTTTGCATAATTCACTTATGTATTGATGCGGTTATCAGTTGTTTCATAGCTCTACCAAAAGTCTATGACTTTCTAGTCAATTCCAAGCAATAGCAGTATTGGAAAACTGGAAAACGAGCGAGTCATATTGCGTTTTTTTGCGGTTCTGTTTCATCTGTTATTGGTTTGAGGTTCGATTTTTCGGATCGAAAGCAGCCAACTCGTGGATCTGAAGTTGTTTTCGTTTTCAGATGAAAATTCTTTGTGATCCCCCAGCTGAACTGTTCGAATTGTTACCGAATCAGATGAATATTTTGGTTGGGAATGGTGGAAAGATCTACCGAACAGTGATCAACGGCTACTGTGGTGATGAGAGTATCATCCAGAAACTTTTCGCTCTAGCGAGTTCACGGCAAAAAGTTGTTGCCGAAGCGTTGCTAGCAGCTAAAGAAGCACATCTTAAGAAAACACTGAAGAATTAATGGAACGGAGAGAAGGCATTGATTGTTCGTTTGTTAAGAACACATCAATATGGCAGTGCTAATTGCTTCGTACGGATTTATTTATTACTGTCGAAAGAGTTTTGTTGCCATTTCATTTGGTTTTTGGTTCATTCGAGTGTTTTATTTGTTTTCGGATCTGTTTTGAGATCAATTCCATTTGTCCACTCATTTATTAATATGGTCATAATTCAGTTGTTATTAGAATGAGCATGATGAAGTTTCAGTCGCTAGCTGCTATTATTATCATTCGTATCATCGGTGTTATTGTTGTCGATAGTGTGCGTGCTATCCTATCATATCGCCCTCATTGCTGATGTCATTATTGCAATCATTTTCGATTTGTTTCGCTTGTTGTTTAATTCATAAGTGTAACAATGCTATTAAAGATAT